TTGAACCATCTGTTGCATAAGGGTGAGCAACAGGAAGGCTATTTAGGCACCTGGGATAATGATGGCATTTTGAAGCACCTCGCTGGGTGACACAGCAGGTCAAATATCAAGTGATCTTTAGACGACTTCTCCCTCAGGAAGGAATAGCTTCTTGGCTAAAGCTGGATCTTGCCAGAAGGGGCTGTTACCATATTGGAGTACCTCTGAACCTCTGAAAGGTGAAGGCAACTTCAGCGGCTCAGTCCCAAAAGGGAAGAGAGGTCAGCTGCTTATTAAGTGTATTTTTGCCAGAGATAAAAATCAGGTGTCACAAGGTTGTGTCCAGGACAGAAGGCATGCATGAGCTGAAAGACTGAATTCAAGTGACTCTTCTGCATGCTATCACTTGTCCCACTGACTTCAGAGTCCCAGAGCACCAGATTTTGTCCATCTGTTACTCTCCCTGTGTCTGCTAGGTCTGGTACTGAAGAAAACTTAGTCTGAAACCATCTGGAAAGAGACTAGAGTGTGTGCATATTACCGCAGAAATTCGGACCTGGATCAGAGGTCAGAATTGGGGGCTACCTGTCTGTCACACTACAGAGAGAGATGCTTTGGTGTCAGCTTGTGCAGCTTAACAGAAGCAAATGTCATCAGGAAATCTTCAGATGCATGTGAAGACTTTAAGACCGTGCTCTGTGAAATGCCATTATACAAGAGCTCTCAAACAGTCAATGCAGCACAAAATAACCCAGGAGCTGCCAAATGTTGTAGCTAGCATTTCTCCAAATATACCTTTTTTTTCCCAGTTCAGAGCTAAAACATAAGTTACAAAGGATTTGATGATCAGTGAAATTAATGACACAATACTATCGATTTCAGTATTTCTTCAAGATACCACCCAAGGGGTCAAGTCACGTGCAATTTTATTTGACCAGGCTGTGAGCCAGGGCTCTTGGAGTGTGTTTTTGGCACATGGCTGCTGTACTTTGCAGTGCAGGCAGTCTGCATTCACACAGGGCATAAGGTGATTCCTGGAAGCACCTGACTTACTGCACACTGCTGCAGTGTGAGGACTTACTGGGTCCCTGTCCCATTCCTCCTCCCTTCTCCCAGCACATAGCGCTTGGAGGTAGAGGCAAAGTGATAAGGAAGGGGCTTAGGATAGAGCTTTATAAACACATAAAAAAAAAAATCCTCATATAATTCAGTTGCTCATGTTCACCCCATCTCTGTACCCCTTTTTCCTTCCTCCCTTCGCTATGCACCCACCATGCAGACCCGGGGAAAAGCCCATCAGTCTGAGTTGCCCTTGCACTAACATCCAGGTCAGTGGCACACTCATGTGCTCTCCATCTTCATCCTCTGCTCTTCTGTTGACTTAGGGAGAGTTTTCGCTTGGAGAGATGAATTAACTGCTGGTTGATACACCAGAAAAGCAAAACAGACCACTGTGAATACTGCAAAGGCAACAGATAAGAGATAAATAATGTCTTAGATAATCTGCATTGTCTTCTTCATAACACAGTGTGCTTAGAGGGAGTACAGTAATAAAAAGTAAACGTAGGAGAAGGCATATTCAAATGAAACATATTTTTCTGTTCAGAAGGATGAACTTTGGGATTTCAGGCATGAGCTGATTCTTGTAAAATCTCTATTGGGATATATCACTCTGCATTTGAGATTACAAAGAAGTACTTTACTGCAGTGACTAACTGGCTTTTGAGAGGAATTTACGATAAGAAGGAAAAAATGATTGCTATTCTCGGCTCCAAAACAGTGATGCCATTATATTCATGCTTTTTTCATATTTAGTTGTTTCTGAAGGGGAGTGCAGGAGTTGCGAGTTATGCTGTCATGAGGTCAAGTCACCCAGCCACCATACTTCTGGACACCTTGAGTTTTGCACAACTCCCTAATGCTCCACTGAAGTGACTGTAGCGTAAAGTGTCTGTCTGCACTCGGTGGGAGGAGAAGTGAGATTGCTGTGCTGGACCATAGGATGGAGGAGGAGCTGCTGTGTAACTTTGGGTGAAACTTTTCTTGACTAGGAGACCTAAAGAAAGAAAATTCTTGGTTGCAAAGCATGTCCATGGCTTCTGTTCTACTCTGTGTGCTGGGTAGATCTTGTTGAAATCACCAACTGCTGCTGATGTGAAGCCCTAGACTGGAGGGGAGACCTCAGGTATCTGAGATGTTGGCAGGAGTAAGTCTCAGTCCCTGTGGCTGGGTTCAGAGATGATGCAGCCCTAGAGCTGCAGTGTGAATATGACACATAAGCAACAGTGTGCAAGGCTGGAAGCCCTTGGGTGCATAGAGGTGAGCTGGAGATTGGAGTGCGGAGACTGGAAAGTACAGGATGTCTCTAGTAGTACAGAAATGAGAGGAAATGGGTGATGGATACTCTGTGCCAAGGATGCAGAGACTGCAGGAGCTCATGCAGGGAGACTGGGCAGTATTAGCAGCTTGCAGCCCTAATGAGAGTAAAACATGACAACTTGCAGGGTAAGGTGTGGTCTTAAGGATGCTGGGAGTGGTGAAGGTAAGATGTACAAGGTTGGAGTCACAGTAAAAGAAACAGTGACCAGAAATGTCTCTCCTTTAGTGTAGGCAGACAAAGCAAATGTTTTAATCTTGTCTTTCTCACATTCCTAGCAGTGTTATGAACATCTGCTCCCATCTGGCCTGGAGGTGCATGAATCAGTCTGAAAATAGCGTCATTAGTGATACTGTTCGGGTGGGTTGGTTGTTTTTTCTTTCCCAGCCCTGTGCAGTAGCTAGCAGCCTCCCACATGGTCAAGCGTCCTTTGCCTCCCTTGCTAGGCTGTTGGGTGTCTCCCTGCCAGGGGCTCAGCATGTGCTACCCATCACCGGGGGCTGATGGGGGGCATGGGCAGCAGCTGACCAGTTGGTGCTTCTGAGCCTCCTAACTGCTGAAAGTGCTTTTTGCTCCTGAGCCAGCATGGAGAGGCAGCATGCTGTTCCCTGACGAGTATAAACCCTTCATGATCTCACGGAACGCTGTCACAGCATCCTCAGGATTCATCACACTAGAGACTGGGATAGCCAGCAGTAGGAGTATGGCATGCCTGATTTTAAGAAATAAGCTTTCCATTAGGACAAATCCTAGATAGCTAAATGATTCATTACCAAAATATACGGCTACATTCTGCTTCTGCTAACTTTTGTACTTGTAGGTACAAAACTTCATTAGCACGTTCATTTGCAGAAAATGTAAATGTGCTCAGTATAAATGTCAGGGTGGTTGCTGTCCTGAATGAAAAAGTGTAGCTCTTTTTTTCCTCTTGCATTTAAATCCTTTCTTGGCATATGAGAAAAATATATGAGAATTGAACTTGGCAGCTGGCAATTTGTGCTTGACCTGTCATGTGCTGAGCATGATGGGAATAGGTTATGACAGATTTGTCATATTTAACAATGAGTTTGTCGGTGTCTCGTTAGCACTGGGGGATGTGCTTCCGTCACAGGATTTCCTGGAAGAGTAAAAAATACTCATGCAAAATTAAGCACCGTTCGGAAGTCTCAGTTTTGACACTTCTCAAAATCTTAAACCTGGAGGCTATAAAAACCCGAGTTCTAAATTTGGCAGCTATGCAGAAGGTTTGGTGTGTTCCCCACGGGATGTTCCTTCCATTATTTCCTTCTACTGCCCCTAGAGAGAGTTTCCAGACATTGGATGTGTTGCTTATTTTTATTTTGGAGAGACGTTGCCCACCAACTGCTCTTTGTTCCTTCCACTCACAGTAAGATTACCTTTTCAGGGGTCTTACTTGAAAATGTGATTTTGGCTGTCTCCCAGAGGAAAGTGACTTAGGATGAAGGGCAGAGAGGTGCAGTGGGTGTGCTGGTGAACCCAAGGTGCTCTAGAGGAGCCGTTTCTGTTGCTGAACCCTGCAACACTGAAAACTCTTTATACTTCCCAAGTCTTATCTGTAAGACAATTGCTGCATTTCTTTGGTTAGAGCTGACACAGTTTGATATGAGACTATTCCACAGTACTAATGAGACCAAAGCAGTGGAGTTGTTAGGTTGTACAGCTTTGGGAACATTTCTGTTAAATTCCCCCTCTTTCTTTCTCTCTTCAACCCCTAGCATGTAAAAGAATCAGTGAAATGTTTTCTGATAATGGATATTTAAATATAACTTCCCAATTTCCTCTCTGGGTGTTAACCTGTATATTAAAAGGAATGTAAATAATGAAGAATTCCTCCTCAGTCAAATTTAGGAGTGTTACTTATGGTTGTGAGGGTGAAAAGTGGATGTTAGAAATATGAAGCAACTGTAGTATGTATTTACTAAAGCTGTATACAAGGTAACAGATACATGTTTATTTTTTTGGTGTGAAAGCTATTTTTTCAATCAGTTTTTGGCAACGAAGCAACAGAAATCTGTGTTTACAAGTCTGTGAATCTTTAAAGCTAAAAAGCTTTCTAATAACTAAAACTGTGATTTTTTTTTTTTTTTTTAAAGTAGACCATTCTAACAAATCCTCAACTTTCCATCAAAAAATAATTCAGAGAGCAGCTTTTCACTATTCTTACGGTTTTGTTCTCCATGATGAAAGCTGTACTGGAACTGGACTTGCTCCTCCAAATGGGTGAATCCTTTAGATTTTTATCTTCACCTCTCTGCTTCTGCTACATCAGGTTGGTCTTTCTGATGTCCTTCACGTAAATATTTCTCAAACTGGAGTGAGCATTGATTGTACCTGCCTCTTGGCTAAAATACTGTTCAGATGGTGTTGTACTGAAGGTCATGTACAGACAAGAGAGAATTAGAAGACGTGGCTACTTCATCATCCAGGGTCTTCAAGTTGATTGTCTAAGGTGATCCATGTCAAGGCTGCATTTCTTTAAGAGCAATCATAGGCATGTTCATGCTCTCTCTCCTTTTCTCTGTCCTTTGCAACATGATACAATTCTTTTCTCTCCTTCTCCAGTCAATAATGGATATATATCTTTTCAATCTCTTAAGTAAAGCTCCAAATTGTGCTTTTTCAGGTCACAGAGCTTAATAATGTGAAGAATATATTACGAATGCCAAAAAGCACAAAGAAGCATGCTGTTGGGATTTATTTTAATGATGATACATCGAAAACCTTTGCTTGTGAGTCAGGTGGGTAAAACGGCAACGCACATTAGAAAACATAAGAGCATTAATTGTGAAATTATGGATGTATTATACCTACACACAGATGTTCTGGGCATTTATACAGAACTTGAGGCAGATGAGTGGTGCAAGGTGCTGCAGATGGAGTGTCTTGGAACGCGAATTAATGACATTAGCCTTGGAGAGCCTGACCTGTTGGCATCTGGAGTAGAGAGGGAGCAGAGTGGTAGGTACATAAATATTGACCTTTTAAATCTTTAATTGTGTTATTTTAGAGTCTTTTGGACTGTGCATAAGAATATCAGAAATAAATTGGTGCAAAATTGTTTTTCCAAGCCCTCTTTCCTGTCTTGGGGAGTTTTTTTTGTTTGTTTGGGGGTTGTTTTTGGCTTTTGGTTTTGTTTTTTTTTTTTTAATTGCTACCAGAGATAATAAGTAAGGTAACTAGAATTATTTTGGAATAGCATTTTTCTTTCTCAGACAAGTCAGTTGCTCTTGGAGATGGGGACTGTCTTTTGTTGTGTGTCTTCTTGTATCATGTCTGTACAGCAGTTTCAGTCTGTGGCTGAGGCTCTTTGGCAACACTGTAAAGCAAATAATAAATAGTAATTGCATGCAAAACCTCAGCCCATGGCTACTTCACTTTCCTATATAAATTAACTAATTACATGCACAAATGCAATTGCAATGTATTTATTCATGCACACAATTTTATTAATTGTTTGCAAATATCAGGATTATGATGGTGCAGTTCTCTTTGATATATGAATGCACGCACAAATGTTCGATGCCCTTTGAGTGCAGCATTCTGACTGCCCCAAAGATGGAGTTTATTGAGTTATTGGATGAAAATGAGTCTTTGTTTTTTAATTAATTGTTCAAAGTGGAAATAAGATCTTGTAATAGAGGTGGAAAATAGGAAATTCCTTTAATGACTTGTACATTTAAAGGGCAGGGATTTTAGACTAACCTTTTGTTTTTCTCCCAGAGAGATTCAATGTGTATTTGATGCCATCCCCTAATTTAGATGTGCATGGGGAATGTACCTTGCAGATAACATTTGAGAATATCTGTCTTTGGGACATCCAGAATCCCAGAGTAAAACTCATCTCTTGGCCATTAAGTGCCCTCCGACGCTACGGGCGGGACCCATCTTGGTTCACGTTTGAAGCAGGGAGGTAGGTGTGTGTTCGCTATATTGCGTTGCTTTGCTTTCCTTGGTGGTGCTGGCTGGTGCTCTGGACCACTTCTGAACGTTGTCGGAGGACATCTGAGCTTATCTTCAGACAGAGGCTAGTCTGTACCCTCTGCTAATAAAACCAAAACACTGAGACAAATATAAAGACAAATAAAAAACTCTCTTAATCCCAGGTTGCAGCTTGAATGGAAGCAGTTGCCAAATAAAAGTGCCTGAGCAAGGGGGTGGGAGAGCTGTGGTATCCCAGGGGACTGCAGGGTGGAGGCTGACAGCATTATATATAACTGTATAAGGTTATTCTTAAATAAAGAGTTGTATGAGCCAGAGAATTGGAGGGACAGATCTGGGAAGAAGGTGTGAACATCATTCCAGAATTTGTACGACATGGGCCTTCAGGCACAGAGTTACGGGTTCTGTACTAGGAGAAGTGGAGTTTGAAGTTGAGAGCACTGAGTGCCAAGTTATTTCCTAAAAGCAAACTAAAGTAATGGAGAAGGGACTCCTGTTTTCCATTGGTTATATTCCTGGTTTCCATCTATTTGACAAAGGGATTTATAAGAAATTTGCATGCAATTCCTTGTTTTAGAGATGTTCTGTATTGCTTCCTGCAGCTCAGCCTTAATGAGCTGAAGTCTTTGCGTGGCTGAAGTTGGAGCACTTATTTATTGAACTAAACTATCAGATCCTTTCTAAGGGATATGGATGCACTATTTTATATAAGCACATTAAAGAATTAGAATAGTAAAAGAGAAATAGATCATAAAATTAATTTATCTGGAAAGGGAAGAGGCATTTAAATGTCCATCCTCCATATTACTGCAGAATTTAGTTCTCTCGGGGGGTAAAAGAATACATTTTTATTTAGCCGATCATGCATTAGACATGATAAGACAATGCAGTTGGGATGCTGAGGATATGTATTTATTGTTTCAAGTGGAAGACAAAACTGTGCAAAACTCGCTACAGGCAGTGTTAAAAGTCTGAAAGGGCAAGACAAATTAATCCTACCTGGCACAGATTGTAGATAGGGTCTAAATATTAAAAATCTGGGTCTTGCACATGAACTCTTTAGAGCTTAAGCACTTATGATAGATCAGTGGTACTTAGCTGAGTCCCTGTTTGGTGACAGCAATACAAATATGGGCTAAAATAGTAAGATTGGACCGGGGTGGTAAGACCCATATGCAAAGACTTTTAGATAACTTTGTTCCATATTTCAACAACCTTTGTTTTCTTACTGCTTGTGCTTTTAGAGCAACATGGTAAAGTTTTGTTTGTTCATGGTGATCTGTAAATTTAAATCTCACACTTGGATCCCATCTGTTCTTGCTTTGGCAGGATGTGTGACACAGGAGAAGGACTATTCATCTTTCAGACCAGAGATGGGGAAGCAATCTATCAGAAGGTTCACTCGGCTGCTTTGGCCATAGCAGAACAACACGAGCGCTTGTTGCAGAGTGTGAAAAATTCAATGGTACGGCTGCTCATTATGCTTGTTATTTTGCACTGGGCACCAACGAACAATATGATTCTTCAATGTGATTTTAAGTTTTGAGTCACAGATAGTAAGAAATCTGATTATAGCTCTTATTAAATTCTCCTTGATTTTAATATTTAGGGCAGTATATATAACTGGGGTTGCTTTTCAAGGATCAAAACAACAGGGAAACTTATAGTCCTTGATTTTTGTGTTTGCAATGCTGTCAATAAGTGTGAATTAATACAGAGATGATAAGCTCCTGTCAGTGCACATTCTCATCAGGTTCCTTTAATTAATCAGCATCATGAGTTTATTTGGAAGCATTTCTCATCAATCTATTTGCAAAATGTTGTGGCTCATGCTCAGTTTTCCATTTGCTAATTGATGTCTGCACTCCAAGGATGATTTGGAAAGAGTCATATGGTTCAGATTAAACTATGGGGGAGGACTAGATGATTGTCTGATCTCTCAGTGGATGTCTGCTTTCCACGAGTGCTTTTTGTGTCTAAAACTTGTTTTATGACACACACATGCCTGGTAGGAAATATAGGAGAGTAAGATGCAAAACCAGCATACAGATTGAGGACAGACATTGTGGCATCTCCAAAAGCATGTTTAAGGAAGGCAGTTTTATGGCACTTGCACCTAATGTGTTTCAGGATCTTATTAACTTTAATTTTTTTTATTCATGAAACCTGTAGAGTGAAAAGGAATGTTCTGTTTATCCCGTATCACAATTGGTCTCTACACCCCAAGACTCACAGGTTGACTTTGACAGCAAAATTAGTATCCTGAAGATAAGAGACTTTCTGGAATGTATAAAATGCCCAGAATGGACAACTGTGGAAGAGCCTGGCTATAAACATCATCTCTATTCCAGGCAGTAGTAACTGATTTATGAAATCTGCAATAAGACTTACATCTTTCTCTTATTGTAACCGTAAGCGCTGCTGTTATCCACATCCATGTCTAATCCTTTCAGTAATTCTACTAACATCTTGGTTTCAGGGATAAGTTGTAGTGATGAATTATCCCAGTATTAACTGGATGATCCAGCTGGGATGAAACAGAAAATGCCATTACTACTTGTGGAAACTTAAGAAGAGATGAGAGTGGGTGTTGAGGGAATGGGGAAGGGAACAATTTGTCTTAAGTACTTGTGTTTCTTTTGTTCTTCCACTTTCTTGGACTTGAGACAGAATGGAAGTCAAATACATGGTAGGGAAGTTATTTCTCTTAATAACAGCCCAATGAAGAGGAGCAAATGAGGAGAGAAGGAAACTCTTTCTAAGTGTCTCAACCAATCTTGTGGACTGGATACCTGCTTCAGCTGAGCACGCAGGCAAATGGGCAATTCTGTTGTTTGCAGAGCAGGTGGGATAACTGAAATGGGAAAGTAAGGAAAATTCAAGTCTGTTTCTAGGCAAGGTGGGTCATGCGATGTCTTTACTTTCAACAGGAAAGAGACTAGTTAGTGTTATATATATATTTATATATATATATGTATGTATTTCACACTATATATAGTGTGATATACAAGTTTTCAGTTGATGCTACTCTGTTAACTTCTGGCTGGTGTCATTACAATGTGGTCACTTCTGTAAAGCCCGTGGGAGAGTGCTGTGTCTGTGAGGATGAAGTACTAACTTGGAGCCTTTCTAGTGACAGCCTCTGCCCTGTGTCTATTTAGACCATGTGCTTTTTTCCCAGCACATCCAGGTTCACTAGGAAGACCTTGACACTTTGCTTGCTTTCTTTCAAAAACAGAATTAGCAGGTGAACTCTGCAGCCAGCTGCACTGGTATTTTTCCCTTTCCCAGTAAAGTATCATCTAACACCATCTTTGCTGGTTTTTGTTTTAAAGAAAAGTAAAAAACTTTATAGTTCTAGTTAGCAAAGGGAGTTTTTGTTCAAAAATATCCAAAATTATCTAAGTTGAGACAGATGGGTAGGTGATACAAGTACTCAACAGTAACTAAATTAAGCAGATTAAAATTAACCTAGGCTAAGTCAGCATAACTAGCTAACATTTGTAGCCCACCAAGATCAGAAGCGATTGAGTAACCTGTTGAGAGCACAACTTCATGTGCAGAAAACAGAGATAAGTTCAGTAACAACAGTGAACAGGCTTACAGCCAATTTCATATTCGGTGGTTTTACATTTATGTAATAGCATCTTTAATAGATGATGTCTGATGCTGTGCTGTAAAATTTCCATCTTACAAGTGCCAATAGACTCAACAGATGCACAGTTGCTATAGATTTCAATAGAGAGCAGCTGCACAACCTCTAAAAGCTTTTTCATGAACACTGTGTCCAACCACAACCCCTAAATCTAATTTTATAGACCCTAGAGTGCTAAGTGGAGGATAAGAACATATTCCTGGTGAACTGGAAGTCTTGTAATTTAGTAGTGGAATATAATTGTTTCAGATGACTCCATATGCCCCTGAATACGAGCTTCCCAAGTCTGTCATAGAAACGTTGTCTGGTTCCGAAATAGTCAGTCAGACTTGGTGGCTTGTCTGGGGATCAAGGGTAGTCAGATTTAAAAGTTTAGGCAGAGGATCGTTATATCAGTGTAGAACTCAGGTGGCTTATTTTGCTGATTACAAAATATTTGTAAAGTACATCTTTGTTCAGATTGATTTTTCCCTGTATTTTTCTTCTGCTTTTGAACACTTCAACAAGGAGTTAATTTTAGATGCTTGCATTTCATGCTTGGCTGTCTATATTGTTTCTATATCCAAGAATTATTTACCCTGTGTGAATTTTCGCATTAGTGAAGCTTGGGCTATTATTTACAGAAAGGGTAAATAAAAGTAGAAAGTAGGAGATACTGGTGGTGAGAAATTAAGTCTACACTGAACATCTTCTGTTTGCGCCTGTAATCCTGACCACTGCTACGTCAGTGATGTGATTATCCGAGACCGAGGTGAAGATGGTATTAAGCTACCTGAGGGCTCCTGGAGCCTATGCAAAAAAAAAAAAAAAAAGGGAGTTGAATGTCCTGTGCTGATAGAGCGAAATAAAGCTGCCAAGTACTGTTGAGAATGTGGGCTATAATGTGTCTGTCACCTCCCTAGCAGTCGCTCTCTTTATATTACAGTATGCTGGTTCAGTTCGTGACTATAACTGGCTCTGGCTCTTGAGATGCCTGTGGAAAATTGATGCGATAGTGGTTCCTCAGCTGGGAACCTCACCCTGACGCTTTCTGTTAATGTGCTGTTGGTTTCTGGCAAGGTCTGAGCATATGCTGACCGGAGTCTGTGACACTTTCACAAGTGGGTTTCATTTGTTTTCCTTTTCAGTGAATTCAAAGATCTCTCCCTTTTCTCTTTTAAAGGGAAGAAAGAGCTGGTTTTGCTTAGCGATGCATGAAGCCATTCCGGCCATTTGGTAACTCATCTCATCCAACTGTTTCTTTCCTTTCACTTTTGCATTGCCAGACAATGGAAAGAAAATATCTATTCAAGTTATATTTTCATGAGTACTTGGTTGCCATGAAAACTGACGGGAGTAGTGCTGTGACTTGACTGCTGTCACTTACGCCTGCTCTCAGTTCGGGTTGCTTTAAAAAAAGACATTACAACTTGACATCTCGCTAAAGTAATAACAGTGAACTTCCCAGCTTTGGCAGTTAAAGCTCAGTGCTTCACAGAAAGATATTATCAGCCAGTTTACCGGCAGCCTTCCCTGACTCTTATTCCCCTCTCGGCAACTCAAGTGCGTACTTTGCACTGGATCCATCTGATGTGCGAGTGCGTCTGTCCAGGCTGGAGCCTGCTATTATCTCTCGCCATTTCCACAGAGATTCATCATGAAGAGAGGAAATGGCGCTCACTGACTTTTGAAAGAAGAATATTGAGTATTAGTGTAAGATAGATAGTAGTCAAAATGGCAGCAATATGCTACTTTCTGAAGTTGTTTTTATGAGTTTACCATACTGTACCTTTGCTGTAATGAATTTAGCAAATATTTCTTAAGCAATTATTGTTCTAATTGGTTTTGATTGATTACATGAATTTGCTTCACTGGGAAGAAAATTCCGTCAAAAACACAGTGAGTGCAATCTTCTCCAATTGGGGATCCGAAGATGAGGGTGTACTTAGTGCAAGTTGTTCTGCAATATCTTTGAAAATTGCATTGTCCAGCCTGAGGAAACCAACCAAACCTTACAAATCTTAAATCATCTTTCTTTTCTTTCCTTTTGGAGCCGTGCTCACAGCTAGCTTGAGAGAATGTTGGTGTGTGGGTTTCTTTGGGTGGGTTTTTTTGTTTGTTTTGTTTGCTTGTTTGGTTTGTTTTTTTTTTTTTTTAGCAGACTGGTTTTGCGACTAATGCAAGTTTTGCCGATTGTTAAGGTGGGATCCAAGAAATAAAAGACTTAATCTTTCCTCCCTGAGCCCCCAAGACTTCTGGGAACCCACCACACTCTCTGTTTGACCCAGAGCTGTGCTTTGGCCCAGCAAACTGCCTCGGTATAGCCCTGTACATCTCTCATCCTGGTGACAAGAGGTGGCACAGCAGCTCCCCAGCTGCTCTCGGCACTGGCTGCCAATGGCTGCGAGCGCGGTTTCTCCATCCCCTTTGCTCACGCGTGTTCCAGCATATCAATTCTGTTATCAGCCTGCTTACGGTGCTGGGTGCTTCTGCGGCATAAAGCCAGGTCATTATCAAGTTATTCCTACTCTTTCTGTTGCTACAGAGATACAGTAGATTAATTGCGAGAATGAAATCAATCATCATTAAAGCTGCCTTTGCTCGCAGTCCAAGGTGTTTTGATGAAACAGTGTATATTCAGGACATAACATACTAATTCTTATTGCCAGCTGTGGGCTTTTTAATTTTTTCCCCTGCTGTTTGAGTTCAGGAGGGGCACCCCTTCTGTCCCTTTTCTGTGTCTTTATCTAATCTTTCTCTAGCTGTGTCTCTTTTTTCTCCCAAGATAGCCTACTGCTTCTTTTGCACTCCTCCTGACAGCCAAACTGTTGCTCAAACTGCCTTAGTTGTTGTCCAACTCACCAATAAACGTAACCACCAAAAAAAGTATCTCCAGCCGGGAAATGCCATCCTCACAACGCTCTGCTGATTTTTATTCCCAGTAAAAGATCCATCGTTGTTTGTTTCCGTGGTGCTGAGATGTGTGTGGTGACATTGCAAAGGGTGTTGGGGCTTTATTGAAGGAGCTGTAATAAATCTGCTGTATGATGTAGGTGGAACCTTGCATGGTGCAGTGATTCACATCCAGCTGACGTGGAGGTGGGTGTCTTAAAAGCAGCAGTTGATCTGGGTTTGGCTTGGTTTTGTTTTACCTTCAGATCACAGGCACAGTGTCCACCGTACAGAGAGGAGGTTGAAGGTAGATGGCACCTCTAAATAACTTGGAAATGGGTCTCTTCGGATACAGCCAGCCCTCGCCTCTTTTCTGTGCTTGCTTTGCCTGTTTGGTTTTGCTCTAAAATATACTGATCTTCTTGTAAAAGGTTCTTTCACCTCAGGTTTTGTGAAACTAAAATGTAAAAGCATGCTTTTCTGTAAAAAGCTATCTTTATAAATTAGAAAAGTCAAGTGCAGTCTTGGTATATTTGAACTGATGCTTTCCTGAGCTTTGGGAGAAGAATTTTAGCTGTACTGTGAAGCTTATGATAAAATCCAATTATTTTCATCAGCTTGCACATACATCTTAATAAATCAATGGAAAAGAATGCCTTAAAGTAGTCAGTTCTCGTATATATTTTGTGTTAAGTACAGTACAACTAATAAGGGGCTGTGATTATGTAAGAAAATGTAGCTGAAGACCCTGTATGGAGGGGGAAGTGTGAGATGGGGCTTCCAGCGATGCCCTGCAGCCCACGTGCTCTCCTCTCAGCATACCTGGATGTGCTGTTTGTTCAAGGAATTTAGCTGAAGGATGCAATTATCTCCTGTGTTGAACTCCTGTGCCATCCAGCTGACACATTCCTCAGCTGTAGGAGATGGGAGAAGAATAGAAAATGCTTCAAAACTAACAAGAACAACTTGTCCTCACCCATGTGAAACATCTCCAGTCAGGTTCTCGATGTGCTGAGGCTGTATTTAGCTTTGGGAAGTTGCTTGCGTAGCTGGGAAGACCCTCAGATGGCTTTGCTGCTAAAGGGGGAGCATACCAGCACTTTCCTGTCTTCCACTGATCCCTGGTTTCTGTTTCAGCTGCTTGAGGTAAAACTTCCCTCAGGGGAAGCAGGGCTAGCCCAGGACCAGGGGAGCACCAAGGTGAGCTTTGGCGTGCAACAGCAGCCTGGCCTCCTAAACCGAGTGGTGTGTGCCCGTGGAGATTAACCCCTGACTTTGTTGCCTCTGCTTGTGTAGGGTGGGCAGAGGGAGGCAGGGAGAGGCTGTGCTGGCAATGTCACGAGAAGTCCTTGCAGCCAGTGGTCATGCTATTCTCAGAGGATTTGCAGTAAACATGACTGTCTCCTTCACATCAGTTTACTGCTTTGCAGCTTCAGATGAAGATGAGCGAGCGAGCCGTGTCCCTCAGCACCATGGTGCCCTTGCCCCGCAGTGCCTACTGGCAGCACATCACGCGACAGCACAGCACTGGTCAGCTCTATGGTCTGCAAGGTAAGGGGCTGGGGTGGAAAGAGTCAATGCACAAAGCAGAACACGACATTGTTGAATCATTTCATTATCTGTCCATCTCACTGAAGGCTGATGTTCAGTCTAAGCCAGTTGCCGCTGCTGTCTGGTTGATGGAGAGAAGGGCACATCCCACCTTAAGACAGACAATTTGGCAGAAGGCTTGTCATCAGGAGGTGCTCTTCTTACTTCCCATTGGAGAAGGATCCTTCATTTGACAAGTTTTCTGACCGTTTTTCAGTAAACAAGGAGAAATTGCTGTTACAGGAGGGCCAGTGATCAAGGTTGTCCAATCCTTCCTACTACCAATCTGCTTTAATGGCACCTGACTTTTTTTGCCAGACTTATAACCATTTGGCTCCCCTCTCCTTTGGATGACTGCCTCGTGCTAAGAATGATGCAGTCTTCATTATTCATTTTGTGTACTTGCTAACATTCGACCTAAACAACTGCATCCTCGAAAACAGCTGAATTAGGGAAAGTAAAAGTAAATGGCCATGATAAGTAGTTCTAGAAAATTGTTGCTTGAACAGCTGCAATGCTGGCACTGTGCATTGCAGTGTGGCCTGAAGATGGGCAGATGTCTTCTCCAAATCCCTTCCTTGCTGTCAGCCCAAGGGGCAGCAGAGCTCAGTCCCCTCATGCCTGAAAACCTTCCCAGGCTGCAGAGAGGGAGCAATCGCTCCCCGGGGAGGTCTGGGCACCCAGTTGTCCCTCCGTGGTCACCAAGGGACATCTAGTGGTTACTGAGCGCAGGGATGGGGAGACAGAAAGGAAGCCCACTGCACCTGCAGGACGGGTGGCTAACAGGGGCTCGCAGGAGTGCTGACCTGAGCCACCTCTGCCCGTGTATTTCTGAGCGTGTTTCAATGCTGAACTTTAATCTCCTGAGATAAAGTGAAAACTCCAGCCCCTGCCATGCACTGTTGTTGCTTTGTGCCAGTTTCCCCAGAGGCATCTCTGGAGCAGGAGCTGCAGGTGCTTAGTATCTCTGAGGAGCTGGTCCAATCTCAGCATCTTGTACCATGCATGTTTTTAGAGTTTTAAGAAAAAAAAAGCCCATTTGTATTTCAAAACACAGTCTTCCACTCTAAGCTACATGGATTGGCTGAGTTAGTGTTTGTACAGAAGTTGGTATTGATGAGTTGTGAAGTCAGGATCAGGACATTACTCAGAAAAGCCAGCAGAAAACAGACTGAACACTTAATAGAAGGGGGACAGCCTGGAGGATTGAACAGAAGGAGCCAGTACCCGCCATAACTTTATTTTCACAACATATGGAACAAAGGCTGAGCTTGATTAAACATCTGGATGATGAGGATGGACTGAAGTAGTTTCCCTTCACTGTGGGGGCATTAGAAAGTGAAGCTCAGCTTGGTCATCAGGATATGGGCTGTTTCTCTGTCATCCCTGAAGGTCAGGGCTGGCGTGTGCTGCTCCAAGGGGCAGCCCTGCTCTTGGTGCCTCATCCTGCTGCAAAAAAAACACAGGTAAACTTGTGTTTAGCAGAAAATCTCAGGAGCTGGCAGGGCTTTCTAGTACTAACATGGAGATATCATTTACCAACATCAAGCATTCAGAAATCACTAGACAGATATGTTAAAACATCCTGGTTTGGAAAACTTTTGCAGTCTTTTTTTGTTTCTTTCTTTCTTTCTTTTTTCCTCCTCTCAGATATTAGGAGTTTCTCAAGGATTAATGAATGATAGATATTTATTTTACTTTTTGTGATAAAGCGGGAAACCGTAGAGGCTAGCAGCTCCAGAACATGAAATATCACAAGGTGTAATTAAAAGCTACAAGCACTGGCAGCCCCGACATACATAGCCATATTCCATTCCGGTCCTCTGATTTTGAGCAAATCATAAAAGCTAGTATTTTTCCTTTTTCCAACACTAGAGGGGGCAGGCAGCACATAAAAAGCCCCAGCTAAACCTGGCAAATGTTCCAGAGGAGGAATGAATAATAAAAGCAGCACTTACATGCCTGTTCAAATTTGTTCAATCACTTAGGGCATGGGAAGATGACCTGCTGGTGGCAGCCTGTGGCACACAAGAACAAGACTGCTTGCAGCACTCTGACACAATCCCTGGACTGAGCTTACTGTGCCTTACTATAGAGTCCTTTATTAAAACAATAATTCAGCATTGAGTTGACACAAGATAAATAGACTGTGTGGGGGTACAAACCAGTTGTTTTATATTTAGAAAAATAGCTTGCTTGTTAAACTGGGAAAAAAGGATCCTAGGAGATTGTCGTCATGAGAATGGGGTAAAAGTCTTTGAAAAATAAGCCAGCCATGCAGCCAGCGTTGTAATTAGGAAAGACACTGAAGTCCTTGTCTCGTTCATCAGTCAGGGTTACTACTTCAGTGGTACCCCAGGCACCTCTAATTAGATTAGGTTGCCAAAACCTTGAAATGCTTCAATTACTGCTGGAAAAAGAAATATGAAATAATTGTTATACCGGGTTGTATAATTCCATAGCTGTAAAGCAGCATTTCACTCACTGAATGGTAGAGGCATCTGAAACCTTGTATGCAAAAACTTTTTTCCGCCATAGCTGGAATTTATAGTTTCTGAATTGACTCCTTTCCCCTTTTCTAATGTACAGAAAAGAAATGATGCTAATATTGTGAGCTAAAGTGCATTTTTGGTTTAAAATGCAAAGTGAGAACTTTTAAAAAATTAATTTGCTTTGTACAACTCTCTGTTCTGAAGGAACTGGGAAAGAAAATCTGAGTGATGTTTCTGAGATGGAGTAGCAGATTAAGCAGGGATAGGTTTACTTAAAAGGCGTAATCTGTAGTTCACATAGTCCTTTATAAAATGCTGAATAAGGTGCCTATGTCTTACTGAGTGTTGTTCTGTTTTTTTGCATCTGACTTGGCAAAGATGTTTCTAGCCCGATGAAGCTTCATCGCACAGACACTTTTCCAGCCTACAGGTCAGACCACCGATAAAAGACTGTAAAGAACTTTACAAACTCTTTGTCTTCTGACAAACTGCCCCAGTGGATGACAGTGGCGATGATAAGCAAGGACGGAAACATGGAAGAGTTCAGGTTGGATGAAAAATTCTTGCAATACAAAGTTTTTTTTAAACTTTGCCAAAAGTTAAAACTATTCTGTAGATATTGGGGAGGGGAACAAAACCAACATACCCTCCAGTGTTTCTTTTATATCTTACAGCTGGACAGAGAAGAAATCACTCCCTAAATATTTCCAAATGTTTTTGTATGATAGGTATGTTGTAAATATATGAGGCTTTCTTGTTGTAGTGTGGTTCCATTTTGTCTGTTACAGCTGTGTGTTCACTGATGTCAGCTGCGTCACCCTTGTTTGTTGTAATGCTTATCTTTAGTTATTTACATTATTGTTCAGCCTAATCCTTGACCTTTGAAATGGTGGCCAGTTTTAAGCAGCTATTGGATACAATTTTTCCTGTTTGAAGCCTGATGAAGACTTGATTGATTTCTTTTAAAAGCTCCCTCTCTATCTTCTATTTCCTGTATTTATTTCCACCTCTGTAAATGCTTAAAATAAAAAAAAAAAAAGTCCCACTTAATTTGTGGTACAGTGCTTTTTGTTGTCACTATCAGCATCATGACCAGAGCTGTTGTGGAGCCACTAGGGCACTAGAAGGAAGGATGAAGGGGGACAGTGGTTTGCTTTGGCTGCCCCTTCCACATCTAAAGCCACACAACCACTCGTTGGGTGTCCTAGTGAAGCAGAGTAGTCGATTCAACAGGAATCTCACAATGCCACAAACCATTTTGTGGAAGAAAGCCGACTTTTCTGTTTTGTGACAGCATCCATGGTAGGCACGACTGGATTGGCACCAGCATCTTAATTTAACAGCAAACAGACTTTTCAAAATTAGCATGGTTGACTACTGTGTGCTATGCCAAATGGTCAGAAATGTATAACAGCTGTAGATAGAAAGCTATGATTACCCTGAATCCAAGTGAAGCACTGTGCTTAGCGAGGTGTAGTTAAATAATTTTGTTAACAAGCTCTGAGTAAGAATGCCTTGTCAGGTTACAAGTCAGACTGATCGTCTCTTGCTCACCTAACAAGCTTAAGGACTAGGACTTATTTTGATTGCACTAGTGGGGAATATGGTCTCTGCATACTTTTAATTGAAAAACTATGGGATACAATTCTAATGATAATTGCATTTATCTAGGCATGTATAATGCTAGCAGCTAATTTTTCAGCAGATATCCTGGAAGAAAAATAAAAGAATGTAATGGCCAGAGCAGGTTTGTAGAGAATGAGCTACATTTGTTCATGATTGTAGAGAATGAGTCAGCACAGGCTAATTGTCTCATATGACAGACGTAATGGTCTTATGGTTTGAGTAAATATAGCAAGTATCTTAAGCTTGGCTTTTAATTCTGAAGATGAAGTTTCAAAGCAGACTGGGAGAACATGATGTTGGTCATGACCCACATGATGACTAAAAGTAGATTTCAAAACTATACTCATAGTTACAGTGAGCTGTACTTGGAGATGCTGTCAGTGCTTGGTGCTGGAGGAGGATATCCAGAGTGGTGTGCGGTTCTGTGTCCGGTTCCAGTCCTGGTTAATCCCTTGGACGGAGCAGTGGGGAGTGTGTTTATTAAAACTGCAGATCTATAAAATGGGAAGGAAGGACACAGGCATCCAAGATTAGAATACAAAATGCTCTGGACAAATTGAAGAAATTCAATAGGGACAAGTGCTTCTAAGCAAGGCTAATGGACTACAGAAATACATAATGGGAAGAGAAGCAAGACAGCAGCCCTTTAGAAAGGGATGTAAGGGTTATAGCAGATTACAAGTGGAACATGAGGCAACAAGGCCGTGTTGCTGCAAAACAACTAAATGTCGTAAGGGAATGTAAAAGCATTTAGCTTTCAAGACAGCTGAAGTAATTCTTCTGCTCTGCTTAAGGCTGGCAGGGTCTCAGCTGGAGTCCCGTTTGGTGGCCGATCCCAAGCTAACGTGCTCAGCTACTACAAATGGCTGTGCCCTGTACAGTGCTGACATGTTGGGATAGTTCGGCTCTTGAATTGCACTGTGCGCTGTATAATGTCTTTACCTTCCTTTATTAAACAGACTTTCTCTCCAGGAATAAGGAAGGAGCAGATGTTTCCAAGTCAATTCAGCCTTTCTGTTTGTTAGTGTCCTGAAGTAACCAGTCACTGCAGTAAGAGCTCTTTTAACTGGTTTGGGCTTAGGATCCATATATCAGTTTAACAAACACATTATCAGCTGTGAAGTAGAACACTGGGAAAATGTAAGATGTTGGCTTTCTACATCTGAAAGGGTTGTTCTAACAGAACTGGAGGTGAGGGAGGCTTTCAGGGAAGCAAACTGATGAGTGTGGTGAAGGTAAATGTGTTGCTGAAGGAAAAAAAAATCAATAGGCCATCGTTGTTTAAGACACACCATAGTGCAAAGATAAGCTTAATTTATTGTAAATAAGGATTATGTTCACTTTATTTCAAAGCTGAACTGCTAACGTAAATAAGTGATTGAAAGGCATGTTATGACTAATAGGTCTTTATTTTTCAGGTTTACTTCTGCTAATATATTCCCTTTAGAGCTGACAGCATCTGTTGTTTTATCATGGATGTGACAGTTCAGTAAATGCTTTTACTCACCTTTCACTCATGCAATGATTGATATGGTAAGACTATCTGTGGTTGAACACTCCAATTACAAAGAAGACAAAAAAACCCACTCTAACCTTGGCCTTTAAATGAAGGGTCATTAAATCAACTAGCTCTGATATTATTCTTTCTAGTGAAACTGTCTGTGAAGGATGCAAAAAAGTTGTAAAAGTCACTTTGCTTTGAATTACTGTGTTTATGACACAATATCAAGAAGTTGTTTTGTTTTAATTCGTGGTACTGACAGATTAAGTCACTTAACTTTGCATCATTGCTGACTTGCTTAGTTAGCAAGGTCATTAGCTGAAGGAAGTGAGAGGGTTTGCTGGTTCCTATAGTTACTGGCTTTATGGTGAGGGAAAGGTCTTCACTGTAGTTGGAGTTGGGTTGTTTAGACTGTACAGCAGACTGCTTATTTACGACACCGATATGACGATGCCATTGCGTGTGCCAGTTGGGTGTCAGTGGTAGCTGATATGCCGGTGAAGACAGATGCAGAATTGGAGTGGAAATCCTTCAGGTACCTGAGCTACGCTCTGTCTGAAGAGATGTACTTCAGAAAATATGCTGCAAATCCATTTGTAGAGCTGTGGGGCTCAGGGTTACTATGGGATTCAAGGATCAGTGTGTGACAAATCCTTGAGAACTACTTTTCTCCAGCCTCTGCCTTACACACAGGCCCTCCAATTTAACAGGACTTCACAAGGGGTTTTTTTTGTGCTTGTCCTGTATCTAAAAAGGAGAATAACAATTTTACGGACTAGTTTCAATTGCTCCACCAAATTCCAGCATGCCCTTTTATATCCGTCAACCTTGTTCTTTCTCGAATGTCCACAGATCTTCCTAGATAGCTTTTTCAAAGGCAGAAAAGTGTTCTGCAAAGTCATCCAAATGAGCAGGTCTTTGGCTCTGTGTAACCTCTCCCATTCATATGGCTCTAAGTAACGCTGTGCGATTTCTCAGACGGCCACTCCTCAAAGACTGGACAGAAATGCTCTACCCTCTGGTCCCTTTCATCCCGCAAAAGACCCGTGACCAGTCTGCAAGCCATAATTGTGGAGATGGCAGAATATGTTTCTGCTTACCCCACTTTTCAAATCCATACTAAGAAAAGTTGTTCTTTCTTTTGAGCAGGTATGAACCAGCAAACTGGTAATAGCACAGTGGGTAGATAGAGATGGTCCAAACTGCAGCAGAACTCGGTGGGTAATGATCTTAAAAGGCTAATCTTGGAATCAAGTACCTTAGAGAAAAAAAAATCATAATATCAAAACTTCAAATTACATTTCTTTTTCTTAGATGTTCTTATTACAGGTAACGGAATGCAAATGCTATTATCTAAAATAGCATAGAGGGCAACGTAACTACCGTAAATCATTGTGCTGCTGAGAGAAACGGAATGGCTGACATCCTCTCCATTTCTATTTTATAGAGGGAGATGGAGTCACATAAGGACTTGCCAAAGTTGCTCAAGACCTCAAGGTATTTTCATCATACTTCAAAACTTTTTTTTTTTTTTTTAAATAAAGATCTTGCACTTTTTGCTTGACCAAAATATAAGAAAAAACAATTTTTGCTTCCTTGAGGGAGGGAGGGAAGCGGTTTAAGCGGGTTGTTTCAGCATTTGGCTGAGTGAAACAGCTTTATTTTTCATGCTTGTACTGTTGTTAATATTTATTCTTAAAATTGTTAGTATTTAGTTTTGTTTTCTCTTCTTACACCTTACAGCAGAAAAGCATCGTTAATATTTAAGCAGATGAACATCTCTTGAAGTTTGTGACTTGCAGCCAGAATGTCATTAATTTAAATAACCACACAGATAAAATTAATGCAATAAGAGTTGTATCTGAGTCCTGTTGCTGAGCAATTCTGGTGAGTGCATAATAATACTGCTGCCTCAGGCATTGAGATCAGGGGTCATGATGTGATATTTCTGTGTATTCATTAACTTTCACAAGGGCAGATTGATCTTCTGTTTCCATGAACACTAATGAACCATTTTCTTATTTTTAGGGAATATTCTATCACTACCGCTAGCCACGTAGTGTTTAAAGAAAAGCTGTTTTCAAACAGAAGGCTCTAATTAGAACCTGGGCCTCAGCTATATTGATTGCACTACACTTTCTCAGTGGATTTACAAATGCCAGCAAATAAACTTGCCAGGAAAAAGTTTATTGTAGTGGTTTTCTCTTTAGTATTCAGCCTATGCATTGTTGTGTTTCTTTACAAGCCTAAAAAAGGGAATTAGGTGCTGAGACGTTCCGAATGGTTGGGTTTGTATATGAGTATTTTCCCAGCTACGTG